AGGGACTGGGTGCCACGGTGGTGAGAGGATCAGTGTGGACATCCACCCTTCTCCCCAAAACACTCTGCAGGGTGCCCAAGCAGCCCCAACCTGCTCAGCTCACAGCAGTCACGGAGATGCCACCGTAGGGAGGAGAGATAGCACAGAGCTCCCAGAGTTGGGGCTTATCTTCCCAGTTTTTTGGCAAGGAGCTTTTCCCACGCCTTCCCTTTGTGCTTAGGAAGGGAATTTTTGTCACCCACCTGCCTGTTGGGTGTCTGTGACCTGCCCTCGCTGGGTGACCGGGACTCGCGCCGCCGCTCCGGCGACTCATCGTGCGCCTGGGGACTCCTCTCCTCCGAGTTGCAGCGGGAGATATCGGGGGACAGCAAGTGCTTGCGCTCTTTGGATCGTCCCCGCTCCCTGCCGCCTGAGCGATGCCCATCGGACCGGTGGCCTGCAGGACATCCCAGTCAGCCCCTTCCCCAAGAACGGGGGATGCTCGGATAGAGATGAAGAGGGTTTGGCATCGGTGAGGGACGGAGGGGTGCTTGCTCACCTGAGTCGGCGTTGAGACGGCGGGCCGAAAGCTGGAGCGAGGAGTGGAAGCTGCGCCCGCCGGGAGCGGTCGCGCTGTCGCTCGCTGCTGCGTTCCATGGAGAACTCATCCAGCCAGGAGCTGTTGGTGCGCTTGTCCCGGATGGTGGAAAAGGACCGCCGCATCGAGCTGGTGTCGGTCACCACCTACAAGCAACCCCGGCCGGCCGGGGAGGGGGTTAGCATCGGTCAGGGCTGGGGGGAGCGGGAGACGGCGGTCAAGCAATTGCTGGTTCACTCGCCATCACTGTCACACCAGCCTCTGGGATGGGGAGATTAGGGGGTGGGGGGCTTACCAGCCTAAGCATAGCCCCCCCAAATAATCTGTGCACAAATTGGGGGTGGGAGGAAAGGGGAGTTCAGCTTTTTTCCTGGGGAGCTCCCCTGTCACAGGGAACTGTGTGTTCTCCACAGGCAAAGCCAGTGGCTGTGAGCTGAGCCAAGGGAAGAGCAACAGCAGCCTGCCCTGGGCGAGGGGACACAAGGGGTACCCAGCCCATTACCCCCCAGGCTGTCTCAGCATCCCTCCCTGCCTTGTGAACAGGACCGAGTGGAGCAAATAGAAACACTGAAGAAGAAATCATCGAGGGGGGGGGTCCCCCCAGTGCCTCTCGCTTGGTGTTTATTTTCCTGGCCACTGGACCAGCTCTGGTCCTCCTCGGTCCCCCTTTATTCCCGCATCCCCTTCCCCTGCACTCATTACCTCTCTGCCCACTCACACTGTTGTCTTCTCACCCCTTTCCTTTCTCCTTTCCATGCTCCTCCTTTCTACCTTCTCCCCCTCTTCTAGCTTGTGTTCTCCTGTTTTGTATATTTTCCTGCACTTTATTCTAGCAGCTTTTTCCCTCTGCAACCATTCTCCCTGGCTCCTCTTCTTGCACTGGACCCTTTCTGCTTTTTGGTCATCTGCCCCGCCACCAAATGGTCAATAAATCCCCCAAGGCAAAGCCTCCCTTCCCCTTCACGTCCCAAAGTGCTGTGACACATCACGCCAGGACCTCTGTGAGAAAGCAAACCCAGAGACTTCACAGCAAGACCGAACCCCATCCACGTCTCGGTGGAGGCTGAGCACAAGACAGAACAACAGAGAAACCGGGGAGACAAACGAGGAGGTGAGATGTGACCGGGGTTCCCCCTGGACGGATGGAGAAGTGTGTGGGACAATAGGAAAGGAAGGAAAAGGCGTTTCATCACCTGGGAGAACATCTGACAGCCAGGCTGGGACTCCTGTGGGGCTGGAGTGAAGGAGGGGTGTCCCACTGCGGGGGGACCCTGCAACTCCCATCGTGGCCCCGCTCCGATGTGGACCTCTGGCATGAGCCAGGAGATCGATTCCCTCTCTGCTGCCGGTGTCTCCCATGTAGGGGGACAGCAGCTCTCCTACTTGTGCAGCATCCCAAAGATAGGGAGATGCTCCGGGATCAGGGCAAGGCTGTGGGGCTCACAGGACTTGCTCGGCGCAGAGAGAAGCCCCAGCGTTACCTGTCAGGCTTTGCTTGGACCCGGCACCCGTGGGGGCTTTGCTTGGTTTTACCTGGGGATCCACAGTGAGACGAGGCATGGAGGAGGCCCTCCCAGAGACAGCGTGGTCCTGAGTGTCCACGGGAAGGTAGCTGCCACGGTTAGAGGGCTGCACTCTTTGAAACTCCCTAACCTCTGGCTCCTGGAAATAAACACACAGCCAAACTCTTGGGATGGGGTTGGAGCAGGGCAGCGTCCTGCTTCTGTCCTGTTTGCAAACCGGGGGCCAGAATTTAAGAGGGGCCAAAAAGGGAATCTAAGACATCTCATCCATCGTGTTGCCACTGAAAAATAAGCTCCAATGCACAACCCATTGCAGGCGAGCCCAGATGGGGTGCTTCAGGCTCGCCTGACGGCCAATTCTTCTTGTGCCTCTTCCATAGGAGTGGAAACCCTGCCTGGATCTGGTGACATCCTGACTGCCCCGGCTTTAACTCCTCCTTTTGCCAGGAAGGGACAAACATAGGGGTTTTCTCACTGACCTTGCCTTAAAGGCTTTCTGGCCACATCCCCATGGAAAGAAAGCACATCACCCGTGGCACCTTTGCTCTTTGGGTAATTCCCAGTTTTGGGGACTCTTTGTACAGGACGTGGTGTCAAGGAGATTGGGCAGGGAGTGACCCTGGAGATCTGTCTAGAAGGTGACTTTATGGTAGCGTGGTGGGGGTGGCCGAGCCAGGGGACGCCCACCTGCACAGAACACAGCTCACACAGTACTACAGACCCCAGGGACACGGACCGGGCTGGAGATGCACAGTGGTACAACACTGCATCCGACAAGCGTCGGGGTGGTGCGCGAATGCACACACACAGACACGGAGCGATATATATAGATATGTATATATATATATACACACACACAGACAGACACCGCTGCTGCCGGCCGGCATGTGTGTGAGGCCGGAGGGCTGTGCTCCACGTTGGAGACAGGTTGGCAGCTTGGCTTGGGATCGGGGACACCAGCACTGACAACAAAATGGACACGAATCCGAAAACATCAGATACCAGCACTCAGCACGGGGTAACCCACTGAAATGAGCGCTCAGTGGAAAAAAAAAGTGCCAGCCTGTGAAGAGAAGGATATTTTACTGCAGGACATCAGACCCCATCGCAGCTCTCGCCCTCAAAAACACTTGGCCACTGCCTGGACCCACCGGCCAGGGATGGCTGCACACCCAGTGCCTGGACAGAGCCCCAGCTGGGGATGTTTGTCCCCTTCTTTGGATCCATGCATGATCCAGCGTCTGCCATTCCTCTGCTGTGCTCGCTGCCACAGGGGCAGGGAGCAGCCTTCTACCGCCGTGCCGGCAGCCAAATGTGCCCACCAGCACCCTCGCTGGGACCACCCGCGAGCGCCCATCGGGGAGTGTGTGCCTTTACCAGAGACTGGTGCTCCTGGAACTGCCCGTGGGCCGGATCCATGCACGCCAGCTGGAAGATCTCCTGTGGTGAGAGCGGGCTCAGCGAAGGGAACCCGCTTCGGCTGCTCCTGCAGAGACGGTCCAGCTTCAGGGTGGGG